CATTGATATGGTTCTTAATTCCTTGCCACCTTGTTATGATAAGTTCATTTTGGCTTATCATTTGAACAATACAGAAACCACATTGGCCCAACTCTACAGCCTGTTGCGGACAACTAAGTCAGGAATGAAGAAGAATCAAACCCTTACCTCTACTAATGCTCTTTTCCTTGCTATTGGGAAAAAAGGAAGGAAAAGGAAAGGTTCTCCTAAGCAGATCTGGAAGGGCAAGGCCCATGTTGGGTTATCTAGCAATAGACCAAAAGCAAAGCCTAGTTATGACATTCCTTCTGTTAGAAGATCCAAAAGAGTCCATTTTCTTCTATTACAATGATAAGGGAAATTAGAAATGAAGCTACCCCAAGCACTTGAAGGACATCAAGGATGGCAAGGTGAAGCCATCGTCGGCATGTATTTACACTATTCAAAGTAATAACTCACAACCTACTCATTCATGGGTCCTTGATACAGGATGTGGTTTTCACATTTATTCTGATTTGCAGGGGCTTAGATAAAGTGGAGAGGTGGAGCATGGAAGGATAAATCTAATCATGGGAAATAAGCGATATTCTCGTGTTACCAAGATTGGAATTTATAGTCTTGTGCTTGGTGGTGATGTTAGGTTAGATTTAGTTGATTGTTGTTATTCTTCAGAAATGACGTGAAACATTATTTCTTTTCATTCACTATTTAGACAAGGTTTTCAATATTCGTTTAGTGATATGAATGGATTGATTTTGGCTTATAAAATGTATTTTTATGTTTGAAGCTTTACCTTGTAATGGTGTGTATGAAAGTGTGATTTGTGTTAATAACTTAGGTAATAGTGTATTTCATATTGATTCGTATAATGGTTTTGACAAGGCATGCTTGTGGCATTGTCATCTTGGGCACATTAACAAGAAACACATCTCCCAACTACAAAATAATGCAGTGTTGGAATCATTTGACTTAAGGCTAGATGATGAATGCAAGTCTTTTGTTTTGGGCAAGATAAGAAAATCACCTTTCACTGGATCTTATGAAAGAGGTGAAGGTTCGTTGGATCTCATACACATAGATATGTGTAGGCCCTTCATATAACCACAATGAATGCTAATCGATTTTACGTAACATTTACAGATGATTATAGCAGATATGGCTATATCTACTTAATCAAGCATAAATCAGAAACCTTTGAAAAATTCAAAGAGTTTAAACATGAAGTCGAGAATCAATTGGGCATGAAGATAAAGATGCTTCGATCTGATAGAGGCAGAGAGTATCTTAGTATCGAGTTCCACTACTATCTCAAGGAATGTGGAATAGTTTCACAATTGACTCCTCGTAGGACACCACAACTTAATGGTGTAGCTGAGAGGTGTAATCGGACCCTGTTAGACATGGTTCGTTCCATGATGAGTCGAGATTCTCTTCCAATTTCTTTTTTGGGGGTATTCCTTTGAGACAGCCACCCATATCCTCACTCTCATCCCTACCAAGAAGGTTGCCAAAACACCTCACGAGATGTGGACAGGGAAGGTTCCCTCATTAGAACATATCAAGGTATATGGTTGTGAAGCTTTCGTTAACCGAGAGACTCACGACATGCTAGAACCTAGAAGTGAGAGGTATATTTTCATTAGTTACCCAAGGAAATCTTTTAGATATTTGTTCTATAGACTTAATGAGAACATAGTTTTTGTAGCATGGAGATGAGTCTTTCGTGAGAGAGAGCTCATATGAAAAAGAGGACAGTGGGAGTATGAGTAACCTTGAAGAGATTCGAGAGTCAACAAATGAAGGAACCTTGGAAGACTCTAGCACTCAACCAGAGGAAGAAGTTCCATTTGATCACATTGAAAATTCATTACATCTTCTTCGTTCTAGTAGAGTTAGCATGCCACCTAAGTTTCATGATTTCCATATAACTACAGATGGTGACACGTTTGTTAGTGACCATACACTGGTGGATTTGGACGAGCCAGCTAACTACAAGGAAGCAATGGCAGACCTTGAGGCTGCCCAATGGAAAGAGCCAATGGATAGCAAGATCAATCCATATATGATAACCAAGTTTGGAATTTGGTTGATCAAGAACCTGGTCGAAAGACAGTGGGTTGCAAATGGGTATTCATGAAGAAGACTAAAATGGATGGAAAGATACACACCTTCAAAGCACGATTGCTTGCGAAGGGCTTTACTCAAACCCCAGGGAATGGCTATGATGAGACCTTCTCACCAGTGACCAAGATAAAATCTATCAGGATAATGCTCGCCATAGCTGCTTTTCATTATTATGAAAGATGGCAGATGGACGTCAAAACTGCCTTCCTTAACGGGAAGTTGGCTAAAGATGTTTACATGAGTCAGCCATAGGGTTTTGTAGATGCAAAGTATCCAAATAGAGAATGTAAGCTTGAGAAATACATTTATGGATTGAAACAAGCATCTCACAGCTGAAATCTTTGCTTCTATGAAAGAGAATTGATTGTCGAATGTAATGCTGATTTCAACACCTTACAGACTCTGACTACTTCGACTCCTCACTATACACATTCGACCCCAACAATCTCCCCTTTAGTGAGAGTAGTCAAAATTAAAAAATCATATTCATAGTCTATAGTATCTCCCTTCTGACTTCCATATACCACAAAAGAATCTTCCTTATTGTTTTCCTTGTCTTCAACATCATTCTTCTTGTAGTTGTTGATGAGAATCAGGATGTTGGTGAAGTGGGAATTTTTTATCTTTCAAGATCAGTGAGTTGAAATAAAAACTTCATGAAATTCCCCCTCTGTTCTTTCCCGAGAAACCATACCATAAAGTTGATGGATAATTTCATCATCCTCAAATTCGTTGATGTTCAACTTTGCCTTTGCTAGAGTTTGAGGCACTTTCGCATTCTTCTTGATTGCCAAGGCAAGATCATTATCAGTAATGGTCAGATATTTGTAGTAGCTCTCCAGAAAAGCCTTGATACGACCAAAGCCAATGATGAAATCATTTTGATTTGACTCAGGGATCTTCGACACATCCACCTTGAATAGGATCTTGGTTATCGGAATAAGATCATTTAGGTTCATCAATGGAAAGTCTGCAATTGTGAATTCGAACTCCATGTTGTTAGCCCTCACAACTGAATATTGACAATTTTGAAGCAGACCCTCGAACAAGGCATCCCTTTCAATCTTCATCACTTTCACTATTTTCACCAACGACCACACATCATCTTCATTTTCGGCCAAGATAACATGAAAAAGAATCTTCAAGTTCCATATTCATTTTGATCTTTGAAGTTATCTGCTACTTTGAACTATAGAGATGTGAACAACTGGTGGTTGATAGGAAAATCGAGTTGATTAAAGTCATAATTTTCAGTTTCAAAGGTCTTTTCGGCCTTTTAAGGAATTCATCATTCTTCCTCAACACTACGATTTCAATGGTTTCATAACACCAGTGTTTGTTCTGATCACCATTGTTTAGGGTTGATGGATCATTCTCCCTTTGATGAAGAATCATATTGATTTGCCTTTGTCATTCCAATTCCACTGCTTGTTGCTTCTTCTTTTCTTCATCCGATTGTTCTATCAGAATAACCTTTCCTTTGTCTTTTGGATCAATTGTTGAAGTTGTTTTAACATGAGATTAACTTGAACCTCCTTCTCCCTCATTAATCGAAATGCCTTTTGATGGAGCTTTTGGCACATTAGCTGTTGTAGAGGTTGTTGTAGTCGAAGACACCATTACAGGCTTCATGGAGCATTGGTTGGTAAATGAAGTACCAAATCAAGGATTCGAGCGAGCTCAGTTTTCATGTTTGATTCGATGTTTAAAACCATTTGTGAAAGAGATTGTGAATAGATGTTTGATTGATTCGAAAGATCAACCTTTGAAAAAATTTCCTTAATACCAGATAGAAATTATTCCATCTTTTCAAACACCATTGCATCCTTCTATGACTTGGCTTCAAGCTGTTTTGTGTACTCATTGTTAAACTCGACCAAGCGAGTAACAACAACATTAATCACATAAACTTTACCATGTAACAACTTGTAGTTTTCTTCCATTTTCTTCACTTCTTCTGACATCAAAGAATTCATCTTAGCAACCTTGTCAACAAGAGACAACTTCGTTTCAGTGACCTTTTCCATGAAAAGTGCATGACGTTCCTTAGCAACATCACGAAGCTTTTGAATTTCATAATCATAGCTCTTGGAATGAAAAGCTAATATTTCTGCTTGTTTCTGCTCAATTCCCTCAATTAACTCTCTCAAACGAGATTCTTGAGCTTGCATCATGTATTCCATTTCGACCCCAGTTACATAATGCTTTCCTCCAGTATCTGCAGAAACTTGAAGAAGAGAATTGATTTTTGAATTGAGGATCTTGAATTGTTTACCTGACATGATCAATTCATCAGGAATATTTTCTTCTTCTTGATCGAATTGAATCTCTGCAAATGAAACCATGACATCGTCATCATCAACTTCGTTTTCTTGAGGTGAATTTTTAGTAGATTGAGATGAGAAGGGAGTGGTGACTGGTTATTGCAGGACACCAATTTTTTTTGGTGATATAGTCGAAACCGTAACTGAGGTGAGAATGGGTGATGATGGTGGTGGTAAGTTTGTTGAAGTTTTGACTGTAGATATGAGTGAAGTAGATTCATTGTTGAGTATCCCTTCATCCATGTTGACATTTTTGCCCTTATTAGATAAGTCAACAGTGATGTCTGGAGTTCTGAACTCCTCCTTACCGGACTTGGTATTCGAAACCCTGGATGGGGTGACTAATGTCTTCTCAAGGATATTTGTTTGATGTTGATCACCCGAGTAGATGTGTGTATCCATATTAGATATGTTTATAGTGACATTAGGATTCACTGTCTCCTCAAAATAAAACTTGATAGGAGAATCCCTTTGAGGTGAACCAATATACGAATCCTTGATTCGAATATTTGACCTGTCACTGTCACTTTCATGCTCAATTTCGACTATCACATTCTCAAGTGGAAATTTAACTTAACGTCTCTTCTTGTTTAACTTTTTTGCCATATCAATAGCTCGATGCTTCTTGGAGTCTGGTGAGCCAGGAACTGGTACTTCACGAAATAGAACACCCCTCCTGGTAAATTTTGGCTTTTGAACCTTCTTTGGACCACCCTGAGAAGAAATAGGATTTGAAAATTCAACATCCTTGGGCTCAGCACTTTCGACTACCGGTTCTTTTGTAGTTGTCTTGATTGGAGATTCAGAAGGCTTCTTTGGTGGTTTCTTCGTTCTTTTAAGAACCCTAGTTTTCGTGGGTATCATTTCTTTGACAATTTCCTGCTCCACATATTGTGGTTTTTTGACTTGTTTCTTTTTCTTTGGAGCCTTTTAATCTTTATATGTTCCTTCTACCCCTTTTTTTGGAAGAACCCCAGTTGGATTAGAAGAATCAATGGAGGCCAAGTATTACACCAACAGTTGATTTTTGGGATCCACGAGCTTGAGCATCGAATCCGGAATGCGAGCAACATTGGGAAAAACATTTGGATCATCCAAAAAAACCCTTGGAGCAGACATTATTGGAAACTCGAAAGTTTCGACAGCAGATGGAACAAGAATATTCTCTTGATTATAAACCTCCTGTAAAATTAAGTACCAAAATCGAGAACTCGAAACACCAGTTGTTAGATTCGTGTGTGAGATCGAAGTTCCAAACTCTTCCCATAGATGTGAAGCATAATCCACATTCAAACCATATTACGATCCTACTATGGCTGAGTATACTTAAAGATTAGCCATGTCAAGCCCAAAGCTTTTTCCTGTTAAACACCTTAGTACAATTCCAAACAAAAAGATCCAAACACAGGGAGGAATAGACTTCTTAAAATGACTGATTCTAGTGAGGTAGGTTGATGCCCCATTTCGTTGAACATATGAACCACATAATCATTTGTAACTTCATAGAAAGTACCCGATGTTGGTAATTTCAGAAATTGGGAAAACTACTTCCGAGTGAGCTTCTTTGTTTTTGAATTCGAGAGGTGGAACGTAACCACCTTAGTAGTTTTGTTGAAAACTGCGATTGAAGCCGCAATTGAAAGTCATTCCATCGGGATTGCAAACGATGAGGAAAGAGCAATCAATAGTACATAGTTGTTCAAAGTTTGAACAAGCATCCGTAAATTCTCCGGGTATTGATAAAGGGATGGAACTAGACGAATATTAATGGTTTGGATCTTCATCATCGGTTGCGATACTTCATCATCATTAGTAGTTGTTGGATTAGCATTGTGATGAGAAGCATCCATTGCATAGAATTTTGGAGAAATTTAGAAACGATGAATAGTTAGGGTTCTTTGAGGTTTGATTAAGGAACATAAAGTTTGATAAGGAAATAATCAATTTCCTTTTATAAATGGTGGTATTTTTTAATTTGAACCGATACCCAATAATAAAGAGTCGTGTGTTGTGTTGGTTACTTATCCGGCATTGTAAAAAGCTCCACATCATAAAAGTGATCATCACGTTCTCCTTAGTTCTCATTAAAATCCTGAACCGCCACGTCCACTAGATTTTTCGCTATTTCAAATTGGATAACATTCGTTATAAGTTTTGTTCCCCAAACAAGTACGCCATGTGATTCGACACCAAGGTCCAATCCTTTGGCATGGAGGTTGGGCTCATTCGCTTTTGGGACTTTGAAGCAAAATCATATGCCATACTTTGCGAAATCTAAGTTTCGAGTTGGAAATACCCAACCTCAAGGATTTCAATGTTTTTTGTGCCAAGAATGAGATAGATGAAAATAAAACAAAATTTGGATTTTGTGATATCAAATTTCATTTGATACGAAAGAAAAATAATCTCGGGCAAAGATCTCTTCATTCAATATCAAGAGAGATGAAGAATTGCTTGTGTGGTATCCAATGAATTACAATCGAATACTCGTTGATCAGCATAGAAGGGATTCTTTTGTTTTGGTTTCGAAGGCGGCGTCAATTTTGCACAAAGGCACATCTTAACATAAGTGTGATTCAATTAAGCCAAATTACTTGGAAGACCAATGTAGTCAAGAACAAGTGTGGCTGGTGATGACTTTTAGTAACAAAAGTTCAGGAAAGATATTTAGACGGAAATCTCATTCCAAAAAAAAAAAAAATTACTGGATCTTTTTGAGAAAAAAAAACGTCTTGGTGTTAGAACATTTCATCAAGATCACTCATTTCGAATGGAATGAGATTTTGAATATCGAAATGGTACAAGGAAACAATTGTTTCGTGAAAATCTTGAACAATATTGTTCACCGTTAATTCTTTGATAGTTAGGTTTGTTGGGTTTCACCATCATCACGGAAGAATGACTCAGGATCATAAACACAGATTTTTGACACATTTACATTCTTGTAGATTTTGAATGGAGATGTCGAGGATATGTAGTGTAGTGTGTGATCGTGAAAGAAATTTTGGTGAAAAGGATTTGGTGAAAAAACTCATTGTACCTCTGCTAAAAATTTGGACCAAGTAGAAAGGTCTTGACTCATCATGAGAAGAGTAAGGTAGCTTGTCGATGAATGTGAATACAGCCTGCTTGGGAAGAAACTTTCGTGAGAAATATTTCATTAAGGCTTCGAACACATAAAGTCTTTGAGGGTTAGAGGACAACATGCATCAACATGCTTCTAGGGACACTTAAATAGTAAACAGTTTCGAGTAGTACTTGTTCCCTTGATGAATGTCCTCATGTGGCATGCAAATTTGCATCATGTTGTTACAATGAAATTCCAACGAAAGTGATTTTGTATCTTTCAAAGTGAAGAATAAATTGTAGAAAATCTTTTTGAATTTTTGATTTTTGAGAAAACAAAGACAGAAATAAGAAAATCTTTTTGGATTTTTTTTTTATTTTTGAAAAAGCAAAAACAAAGATAAGAAAATCTTTTTGGATTTTTGATGTTTGAAAAGACAAAAACAAAAATAAGAAAATCTTTTTGGATTTTTGTTATTTGAAAAGACGAAAACAAAAATAAGAAAATCTTTTTGGATTTTGATTTTTGAAAAGACAAAAACAAAAATAAGAAAATCTTTTTGGATTTTGATTTTTGAAAAACACAGCAAAAACAAAAATAAATGAACTGAAAAATGTTACCTAGATACATTCGACTCATGGTCTAGCAGTCATCAAACAAAAGTTGAGCGTTGAAAGCCTCTTAACAAATGCAAAGTAGAATCCTGCACTGAACGATTTAGAAGGAAGTCAAATTTGAAGCCACTCAAACACTGAACGTGAACAGTAACCTTTGAATAAAACACAAACAATTGAAATTGAGTTGAAACACACGAAAAAGAAATACCTACTAGTCGAAAGTAAACAATAACAATCAAAAGTAAGATAAAACTTATGTTCGAGTCAGATTTAAGAAGAATGTGGAACAAAAGATATGTCCATCATTCCCAGACCATTCAAAATCCTTAAGAATGATTTTACATCTGAAGGTTTTGTGAAAATTTCAGCAAGTTGATCGGTTGTCTTGACAAATGGACTTCTGTGTTCCTATCTTCAACGTGGTCTTTGGTAAAATGATAACGAAGAGCAATATGTTCTGTTTTCGAGTGTTGGATTGGATTGTGACAAATGCAAATTGGACTTTGAGAATCACAATATAGAGGTATTTTATTCATGTTGATTGCATAGTCATGCAATTGGATTTAAATCCAAATCACTTCCAATGTGCACACAATTGCAGCGATATATTTTGCTTCAGTAGTCGAAATTAAAACACAAGCTTGCTTTTTTGATTGCCAACTCACAAGTTTCCCGTCCAATAATTGACATCCTTCAGTTGTGCTCTTTCGATCCAATAGACATCCACCCAGGTCCACATCAGAAAATGCTTGGATAAAGAATCATGTCTTCGAAAGATACCACAATCCCAATGAAACTGTTCCTTTGAGGTATCGTAAGATATTATTGACTGAATTAAATTGGGGTTCTCTTGGGTTCGATTGATACCAAGCACAATTACATACAACAAACATTATATCAGGTCGACTTTTAGTTAAATACAAAAGCGAACCGATCATGCTTCTATACATCGTTAGTTCCACAACAGCCTTATCCAACGAAGAACTTAAGCGCGTGACAACTGCCATAGATACTTTGACTTTCATGTTATTCGTCATGCCAAGCCTTTCAAGCAGATTTAGAGGATATTTCTCTTGATTGATAAAAATTACTTCCCTGCTTTGACGAATATGCAAACCCAAAAAGTTATTGATTTTACCCGGCATACTCATTTCGAATTGACTTTTTATGAGTTCCTCAAATTCCTTAGACAATGAAGGATCAGTCGAACCAAAGATAATGTTATCAATATACATTTGAAGGAGCATCAGATGATCCCCTACGTTCTTTGGAAATAAAGAAGGATCAACTGATACTGTTTAAATTTATAGATTTTCAAAAAAAAAATCAAAGTTGCATACCAGGGACGAGGTGCTTGTTTCAACCCATAGACTACCTTTTCTAAATTATAACAATAATCAAGAAACTTATCGTTAACAAAACCCGATGGCTATTCGACGTACACCGTTTCTTCCAGAACACCATTAAGGAATGCACATATTACATCCATCTGATAGTCGTCGAAATCCTTGTGAGCTGCATAGGCAAGAAAAATTCATACCGTCTCGAGTCTTGCGACAGGGGCAAAGGTTTCCTCATAATCAATGCCTTCTTGTTGATAATAACCTTTTACGACTAACCTTGCTTCGTTTCGAATAATATTACCTTCTTTGTCAGTTTTAACTCTATGGTTGAAAACACAAACATAATCTCAATATAAGTGGACATGATGAAAGTATACCAAACTAGTTTAATGATGTGTTCTTTAATCTCTAAATCTCCAAGCAAATCTCCTTCATAAGCATGTTTTGTGCACTTCCTGGATTCCAAAATCGGTTCTTCAGAATACCTTTCCTCCAGAAAAGCTCTCAAAAAGTCTCCAAAAGCCTCCTCAAATCGTAAGAATGAAGGAATAATTATAGTTTGGAAAATACGTTGCTCACGTCGTGAGAATTAGTGTCTCACATCTTGAGCTCAGTAGTTATCTATATTGAACAATGATTCTAACTTCCCATATGTTAATCTTCTAGAACTCGGTTCTCACATCGTGAGATATTATCCCTCACGTTGTGAGCTCGGTCTTTGGCTAGAAGTTTTGTTCTTTTAAGCTCTAATTCTCCAAAGCTCCAATTCTTGTAAATTTTGGTCCTTTATCTTAAAGAGTGTTCCTTTTGGATACAAAATACAATTTAACTCAATAAGTACGATATATCTTTGCAAATAACCAAAATATTAAATATAATTTATTAGAAAATTGCCTAAAAATGTGTATAAATATGGCAATATCAGTTCTTAAAAATCCATTTTAGACCAATTAACGAAACCTCTTTAGGTTTAGGAACCAACCTCCAACCCTTGTTCCGTTGAAATTCAACAAGTTTAGATTGCATTACAACAACCCAATCAGAGTGTTCTAATGCAATCTTTACTGTTTTTGGTTCTAATTTCGAAATGTAAACATTAAACATACATTAGAAGATATGCTCCAGAACAATCTAATGCTTAACAAGGTTAAGTATTCTAAGCTAATATGAACAAAATTAAATCATAACCCAACTACAAAGTTGATGACAAATTCATATAATTCATAATTCGAAATGTTAACCAAAAGTAAAATTCAAGGATTTCAAAATCCTACAATCACATATTATGAACCCTTGTTGCAATTGTTTGAGTTATGAAAAATTAACTTTTAGAAAAAAAAATTAAATTATATGTTATCATTTGTCTAAATTGATTCAAGAAAATATAAGTTTACAGCTTATTTCCAAAAAACAAATATTTCAATAAAACCCAATAAATAAAACCCTAGGAAATTATGATAATATATGAGTTTTTATAAAAATTAAAGCCTAGATTTATAAAAATTCAAGGGAGGCTTTTATTATTTTATCAAATATCAAGACAAATCTCCTCCCTCTCTTAAAATTTCATACATTAGATCTTTCCCTCTCTCCCATGCCTTGAAACTCATCATTTCACCTCATTTGAACCATATGCACACTCCATCTCACTCTCTTTCTCCAAGAAAACTCTCCCACTCCCAAAAATCCTCAAACAAATCCAAAAATCCTCCATCCTCTGCCCTAATTTCGGATTCTTGAAGGTCTTGAATTGTTCTTGCTTCACTCAAGGTCGCAATCAAGGTAAACAATGCAACCCCTTCTTATAGTTTTATAACCTTACTTTCTCTTCTTCATGGTTCTTCTTTATTTATCGGATTCTATGCCTTTATATGGCTAGAAATCCTTGTTTTTCCCTATTTGTGTTTGTAGATTCTCACCATAACACATTACATGTGTTTGAGATGGTCAAAATCCGAGATCAAACATATGCTAAGAGTGAAAGAAGCATATATGTTCATATGATTTCAAAAATCGAGTTTTTCATCTTCTTCTTCAATTCTTTTGTGTTCTTACATAACAAAAATCATTTAAACCATTTCTAGTACATCTTGGATGCTTATTCACACCATGCATGTGTTAGAAATCGAATTTGTGGTGCAATTCTAGTGTAAGATTCGTTGGTTCCAAGGATTTATCTTTCACAAGAATCAAACACCCACTTTAGGGCGTTGGATAACCCTAAATCTATTCCTTGGAACGCATGAACCTAAAAGTTTATTGTTCTTCTGTAAGCTCTAGTTTACTGTTATTTAATTTCCACCATAAAAGAAGTATGCATGTTGTCTTTGTGAAAGTGACCCTAATGGGGCACTCAAATCAACAAAGATGACATGCATTCTGTCCGAATATTTTGTTCAGCTTTGAACGGCCAAAATATTTGCTAAACCAAATCACGATATTCTTTTTCTGAGTGCTGGTTCCTTGGGTTAACTTTCGAACTAATTGGTCTTACTATAAAACATTAAAAATATGATTTTTGACAATTTTTACAAAACAGTTGCGCAAACAGCACTTCTTCTATGATCATTAGTTTTGCCTTACATGATCATGGGTCTTAAACCCCATTCCAAATCTGGGGAAAAATATTTTAGAAACTTAACATATCCAACAAATTATGTCTAAAATTTCGTGGATTAAAACCTCACATAATTTTCTACCAAAATTCGTGAACTTTCAGCTACATCTAGAACTCATGCACTATATATTGTGCTACAATGTTTCACTTTTTGGGGTTGAATACCCCTGTTTTGATTCTAAATATATTTTGAAAAAATTGTTTTATGAAAGTTCATATATACAAGTAATGATCTGTAAAATCCCAAGGGCTAGAACCAAATCCTTATGTTTCTATAAAAATAATGATTTAATGGCAGTAAACTCAAAATAATAGTTTTCAAAAGATATAAAAATCTGAAAAATTGTAGTATTACTATATTCAAATAATAAGAAAGCCTTATTATAAATTTTCAGACGATTTGGACACTGTTTGGTATTTTATCCATACTTTTCATTAAATTTGAGCATGAATTTACAAATTTGGGTCATTGGACTCAAATATCCTAACCAATATTTTTCTCAACCTTGGGAACATTATGAGAGCCTGTAAAAATTAAATTGAGAATTTTAGAAACTGTTTACAATTTATTTTGAATTTTCTCCATTATTTGGTCTTTAATTTACGAAAAATATCAAATGACCTTCAAAAATGTTTACAAAAATTTCTGGACACCAAGGCCCTTTGTTAGAACCAGATTTTTTTTTTGTATTTCTTGGAATTTATTTCCATGCCTTTGTGAAATTTTGAACACAATGCATGATGAATTAATGTTACCGATAATGAATCATACACACTTTGGGCATTTTTACAACACCACTAGTGGGATAGGTAGTAGAAAATAGCTTAGTGAATTATATTTCACTACAAACTATTTGTTCCGTAGGCCGCTAGTAGGAATCACAATCGTCAACATCAAACCGCGAAGCCCGAGCCACAAACTTTCCATTGTGAGTATTCACAACCCCTATTTTACGTTTTTAATGTTTTGGGGTGGAAAGCATGCTACAATTCCTATGAAAATTATTTTATGAACTTGTGTTATGAACTATATGATATGAACTTTTATGTATGAACCTTGTATTATGAATTTGTACTATGAATTTTGTGTTATGAACTTGTATGTTAAGTCCCCGGAGAACCGATACAACCTATTAACTCGTATTCGAGCTGATGGTCTTATGGATGACGCTATTTGGGGTTGAAACCTCCCCTTGCCCTGAACCGCGAGTGCATATTTCCATGAATGACATCATGGGAGCCATGGACATGATGAAATGGGGCGAGAATGGTCGTTAGGCTTGGTTGTGAACGGAATGCAATTGCATTGATCATTTTCTGAATTAGAGCTTTTATTGAACAAACTACATTTTTGAAATAATGTACTATTATAACCGTGTGAACTCACCAACTATTTATACTTGACCCTCATTTTTGCATGCTTTTCAGGGAACGGTCATTAAATCAATAAGACACCAGCATGATTTAAGTTATTACTTTTGTTATGTATTAAACTATGTATTGTGAAAACTGAATGTATTTGTTTTGTACGTGATGTAAACTTAAAACACTTAATGTTTATGGTTGGTACTCCTATTTACCTTTTCATGAGACCTTAGCTCGTTCTTCGTGTTTCCGCTTTAACGGGGTGTGACAGATTTGGTATTAGAGCCTAAGGTTATAGAGAATACCGGTTTTCCCTTTTTCCTTAGGGAGGCCCAAACTATAACCGTTAAGTTATTAAAACATACAATTTAGTATCACTAATTCCGGTAATGCACTATCGGACCTTATTTATACACATCCTGATCACCTATGTATAATTAAAGAAGAGCAAGTGCAAGACCGGAATTGGTTATAGTGAATAGTATGAAAACCCTAGGTTAAACATATACATCGAACAAAATAGAAATTCATTAGGATGCTAAAAACTCGTCTAAACATTAGAGTTTCTCGTGTACAACATAGCTATGTCAAATACTAGCTCTAAAGCACTTGGATCAGCAGATGAGTCAGGTTACGTCACTACGCGCCCAAAAGTCAACCGCGACTAGAGCACCGAACCAACCGAAGATTTATCTACGGTATCAGAGACTAGAGATGAAGTGAGCACCCAGGAACCAACTCAGGAGACTTCAGCCCCCGTCGATACTTGAGCCTTCGCGAAAGCCGACGCCTCAACCACCCCTTTATGGACTATGACACAGGAGGACAGCGAGAAACAGCATGCCAATGCCGAGAGAAGTGTTGAGGTTCAAGTGTCCAGAACCTGTGCCAGCCCATCCCGCATCAAGGAACGAGCATCCCGAGCCTAGTCAGCCTCGACCCCCAGTCATAGGGATGCCTTATATGCGTGCACCCATGATGACTTGTCAGGAGCAACGCAACGTGGAGGCCATGGCCTAAGACCTGCATGATGCCCGTAGTAGGATTGATTATCACTATCACAACATTGCTGACATGTCAGAGGTGGTGGATGCGTTGTGTGGTTATACAAACTCCGCCAGGAGGACGACAATCGCTGGAGGGCTAGCATTGATTCTGGCAGTTGCTATCGCTGGAGGGCTAGCATTGATTCTGGCAGTTGCTCTTGTCTGGGTGATTGTGTTTTGGGGTTGATTCTAAGTGTCATAATTTATGTTTTATGAATTATGATGTAATGCCTTTGATTTATGGCTTTTGGGACAATGATTGAAGTGTCTTTTGTAGCTTGCAGTGTCAAGCAATACACATTGTTAAGCCTTTTATTTTCGAACTGAGAATGAAATTTACCTTAATGATTTTCAACCACCATGTTATTTCACCCTACCATTGTTATTCATGAGCCAAAAATTGTTTTGATGATTTGAAATTTTTCTTGAAATTATTTTCTTTCTAAAACATCCTTAATTTTGTTTGTGTATTATAGAACCATGGCCCATAGAAGAAACACCCGCTCACGCCTAGCACAACCTGAGAATGCCACTCCCGACATTGCTCAACTGGTTTCATAACAACTAATGGCTGCTATTCCTAACATTGTGGCTCAAGTCATTGCGGGAGTTAACGCAAGTCTGACAAACCGCAGAGGCCCGACACCTACTGAGAACACCGATGGAAGCGGGGTTCGGAATGAGGAAACAAGGGGATGCACACGTAAGCACTTCATGTCTTGAAAACCCAAGGAGTTTCATGGAACAGAGGGTGCGGTGGGATAGCTGAAATGGATAGAAGAAATAGAGGTTGTACTCCACATCAACAAATGCTTAAATGACTACAAGGTTCTATATGTCGCTTGCCTTCTCCAAGTGTCACACCCCCGAACCAGACGACGGAAACGTCCGAGGGCTCGTGTGACTTAAATTTAAATATCATCACAATGAATATACATGAAACATAACATAAACATCACCATGCATTAATACATTACAACCGTCATTGTTCACATCCAGTACATTGTTTACATTACATAATCCCAAAAATAAATTGTTTATCAAATGACATCACACAAAAGACATTCAGACACATGCTTGATAATTCTTCATTCTAACGGTTACCTGAGAACACAAGTTATTTTGAAAACGGTCAACATATATAATGTTGGTGAGTTCATAAGCAGGTTTAATATGAAAATGTTTTGTATTTTTTGTAAAACCCAGAAAATCCGATATTTTCTGAAACATAAATTGTTTGCGAAAAAGGTGTGATGATCCATAGGTATACGTGTAAATGATTTCAAAACATGCAAAAGTGAATTGTTTTTCATAATAGTTTCTTGTATTATAGTTGTTGTAAGTAAAAGTGAATAATTTTGTTCCCCCGGAAAACCTGATGTTTTTCGATGTAAATAGCATGATAGTTTTGTATTATTGGATCGTCACAGCATATGAACATGATTTCCCAATGATTACTTAGATGGTAATGGATCTCTATGTGAGTCGTTATAACCATGCATAATAATGACTAATTCGCCTGTCTTGGCATTCTAGTGAATGCCGGTATTGAATTAAGATTTTGTCACCCTAGACTGGACGAGTCTAACTGTAGCGAACAACTTAGGTGTGGGGGAGTCACCCCCGTATAGATCTATACACAAACTCTCGCTCTCCTTCCAGGAGACTTTGATTATAACTACAGACTACGACCGACACTTATTGGTGTCGTCCGTTATTTCTCACTAATCCAAAAGAAATTGTATAACATTGTTTCACGACCCGATTTATGTTTACTTGAATAAAGGTAAGCCTAACAGACGAAGAGAAGATGACTACGGAGGCCCACTAACTTTGTATGTTATTACAGGCTGTCGAGTATGCTACGGACACGTTATAGCCCATTGAGCATATTATAAAGGTTTAGGGTCTTATTAGCAATGCAAATGGACCATTAAAGTCCAATAGCATATTAAAGCTGATAAAGGCCCACTAGGTATGTAATTGGGTCACCGGAAGCCCAATAAACATGTTTGAATATATTGGGCTCAATAATCATGATATTGGGCCACAAAGGCCCAATAGCACGAATAGGAGATATTTGAGCCCAACCATTGAATCATTTATAATTTATTGATCTTAAGTTCGTAATGTAGGTATTTGTTGTAAGCTCGTTGTTTATTCGAAGTGTTAAGATTGTTTTGACGTTTGATTTATAACGAAGCTTGGTTATACGTATATATATATATATATATATATATATATATATATATATATCTATATATATATATATATATATATATATATAGATATATATATATATATATATAAACCATGCGTTATAAACTTGATGTTTTTAACCCAAAAATTTAATATTCGTCTAATTGGCCCAAAAACATTTAATTTGACCATTTCAGGCCCTTTATCTATAAAAAATGGCACTTTTAGTCCCCTTTTATGAAAATTGACATTTTTGGTCCTTAAACCGTTTTTCTTGACGTTTTAGACCCAAACTTTATTTGAAATAATAAATTCAGCCCAAAACTATTGTATTTGTCATTTCCAGCCCTTAATTGTAAAAAAAGTTTACACTTTTGGCTCAAATTCTGTAACTTTTCCAATTTTGACCCCAAAATCAAAAACTTTGCATTTTTAGTCCAACTTTTTCATCAAAGTCATTTTCAACCCCTAAAAATAGTGTATTCACGTTTTAGACTCATAGTTTCTTAAGTTTTCCAATTCAGCACTTCAACATTTCATTTTTTCGCAACTTTGGGCCCAAAAACTCGTGAGGCCCAAATTAAAGCCCATTAAGCTAAAATTTATGTTTTTGACCCATACACAAGTGTTTATTTCATAAAAGTTAGATTTCTTTGTAAATAATACCATTTTGTCCTTATAAAACCGAAAATATCATATTTTACCCAAACTTTGATTATTTTTGCAAAAATGACACTTATAAGGATTTTGACTTTGTTTTCACTTCTTAAGCCTACAGATCCTTAGATCTTTGAAGTAAGTTGTTTATTATGTACATTGTTTATGTATTCTTTACATTTTAGCCATAGATTTCAAGATTTAGAAAATAACATCATATTTTCACAACCTAAACCAAAGAAATCACATATAACAAGAATACACACATAGATCAACACATAGTACTTGTATTCTCCCCCAAAAACAAGTAAAAACCGAAAACAAGGGGGTGTGAAATCACCTTGGATTTGTTGGTTCGATTTTGGAGAAATAAATGGAAGAGATTGATGTTATTTTCGGCCCTAGTAAGCTTCTTGAGAGGACTTTGGTTTAGATAGCTTCAAAGATGATGATTCTTATGGAAGAACCTCCTTGAAATGTCCAAGATCTTGAAATTTTTTATGGAAAGAGGAGTGTTCTTTGAGAGGATTTGGAAGTATTTGGAAGTGAATTAAGTGTGTGTGTGTGTGTGTGTTGATGCTCTCGGCCGAGAGTAGAAGAAGAAGAGGGGAGAGAAGAGATAAGTTGCATGGGAAAATGAGATGTCTTAGATGTATGTGATGTATTAAGCCTTGATACCCTTTGAGTAATAATGATGTGTCAAGGTTTAATTAATCTTTTTTTTGTGTAGGGCCGTGAACTTGGGCTAGGAGAAAGGATGAAGTAGCTTGGTCCAAATCTTTTCCTTGGTTCGAAGTTATGAGGCCCAATATTTATTTTTCGGCCCATTGGGCCTTTTGGGAAACTCACGGCCTAATTTTTGTATAAAAGAATGGACTCATGACCCATTAGGGCTAATTAGATTTGTTATGGCCCAACAAGGCCCATTAAAGGTAAACTAATCCATTTTAGGCCCATTATAGCCCAAAATGTTAAGTTTCATGAAAGTTGGTCCAATTAGAGCCCATTTAAGATTCCTAAGCCCAAAATAGTCAAATTGGAGGCTTATTGGTCCATTAGGCCCAATAAGAAAATCCTACTCCATAATGGACTTAAACCGAGATTTTTAGGGTTTCCAAACTTTTTGTTGACTATTTAAAGTGTTTGCATAGGATGATTGATGGAACTTTGGTGTTATTAAATAAACATCATGCATGCTTTCAAGTTTTAGTCACAAATGTTATGGTTGTTAATGTTTACAAAAGCATTAGAATTCCTAGTTGTGACACCAAGACAGAGCCTTAACATGGTGGAATGCACAAGTCCGTAACCGTGGAAGGGAGGCAGCGAACCAATTAGCTTGGGAGGAATTCAAAGAGTTACACAAAAAGGAATAGTGTCGTAAGGATGAGATCCAGAAAATGGAATCTGACTTCTAGAACCATGCCATGGTAGGAGCCGATGTAGAAAGCTACACTGTGCGTTTCCACGAACTCGCTGAACTAGTGTCGCACATGGTCACCCCAAAGAGCAAGAGGATTGACCGATACAAATGGTGTTTAGCACCAGAAATCCGAGGCATGGTTACTTCGACAAATCCTACCAAAATCCATAGCACTATAGACCCGGCGCACCGCTTTACGAATGATAAAGTGAGGGCCAGGATATTGACCATGAGCAATACAAGTAACAAAAGAAAATCGGAGAACCAGTTGGGAAGGAAGAAGAACGATAACTCAGATAAGAACAAAAAAAAGGGCAAGGAACTTTGGGTTTAAAACTGAGGAACATGTGCAACACCGAGGGCCTAAACCTAAGTGTGATAGATGCAACTATCATCCTGAAGGTGCCTGCCCCATCTGCCACAAGTGCAATCGAGCAGGACATTTCGCAAAATATTGCACGATAGACAAAGATCGCATGGATGGTAAAAAGGCATGCTATGAATGTGGGAGTGTGGACCACTTTAGGAATGCCTGCCCGAATCTGAATAAGGGCCCCAACAAAAATAACAATACCAGGAACGAGGCGGGACACATAAACCATGGAAATCGAGGAGGCTAGGCTCGTTGGCGAGCATTTGTGATTAAGGCGGAAGAGGCCCGCCAGGACCCAAAAGTGGTGACAGGTACATTCCTCTTAAACAACCACTATGCATCAGTATTATTTGACTCTGGGGCAGATAGAAGTTCTGTGTGGCATGAATTTAGACCCCTAATCGACGTGAAATCAAAAATATTGGAACATGCCTACGTAGTTGAATTTGCTAACGGTCATGAAATTAAGGCTAGGGAGATAGTTCTTAATTGTACCTTGAACTTAGCTGATAAAATTTTTAGTATAGACCTTATC